GATGTACTAAGAAAACGTCTGGAGAAAGCTATTGCACGAACATTTCCAGCAGCCACTCTACGTTTGATGTTTACAAACTGGCCTCAACTCTGCACAAAGATAAGCATCTGCATCCTCTCCCCATCTATGATTACGTGTTCCTTCACTTGCACATGTTCGGCAAGTTATGTAGGACGAGACAATTCTTCCAAAGGATCAGAGAACACAAACCGGCTTGGCTCAGAACGAATTGCAAGAAAACAGTAACCAGTGGAGCTATGGCCCACCTCGCTGCATTCAAAGTAATCTACAGAGTACCCCAAAACAAATCGAAGAAAGTTCGGAAACGTCACTTGGCAACGGCGGAAGCTGTAGAAATCAAAACCATGAACTCACCACTGTGCAAACAGAAGAAGATGGTTGCCGCACTTCAGCTGCCTTGGCCTCAACCAAACCTACATGATGAACCGAACTATGACCTCAGTAATCTCATGATGACGCAACATGGCGTGACAAATTGCACGTGCAACAAAAGGTCACCGAAAATACCAGATATGACCTTTATCGCCACCCTCCCCTTCGTCCACTGTCCCCGTCTTATCGATTTGCTCTGATGAAACTTGATAGGCATTGTTGTATTTTCATACTTAACCTCTATTGACCAACCACATTTATTTCTATATTAGATATAGACACGCACACATAACTGTGAAGGCCTGAAGACGAAGTTACGAAAACAAGCTTGTTCGTTATATTGTTTAGCTTTTGGTATTCCTATGAGTATCTTGCATAAATTAAAAATTCCATAGTAATACTTAGGGTCTGTTAGTGTTAAATGCTTTTGTGAGAACAGATTTGATAGTGATTATTCACCGACTCAATTTGGATTTGAACTTCAAACCACTCACAAATCACAGGGGTTCGTTTGACAATTGAGCCGATCAGTTCACAGAAGGGTCTGACCAGTGCAACTTAGTTCAGTAAGACTTATTCTATTACAGCCAGTCAGTTCGTTTATACCAACAGCCACAAACAAGAACAATGTGCAACTTGTTAAATCTAATCGAAATCTTATCACCGTATAAGGCATTTGCTGTAGGCTTTGACCATCCTTCCCTTTCCCTCGCCGACCAAATCAGAAATTCTGAGTTAGATCTATTAGCAACTTTTGTCCAACACGAATACACACGGGAAACTGAGAGAACGAGTTGGTCATACAAATACACGGGATGTGCTATTCAATGATCAAACTTGATCAAATGATCCGCAAGGAATTAAGGAGAAAGCAGTACCACGTGAAGTTCCAGAGCATCAGTAAACTGCGCATTAGCTGCTAAACGGTCCACAATAAAATCGAGATATTGTTCTTTGACGGCTTTTTTCAGGTAGACCGCGTGACTCACTTCTGGCCACGCGTTTTGTTTTCATGTTACAGATACTTTTGTTCTAAACAGACTGAAATCACCAGACAAATACAGAACAATACGCAAATAATGGAATTTCTCAAAATTGACAAACGTGTTTTTTTTATAAAGGAAAACAAACGAAAAATGGGTTGGGCGTTGTAATGTCAAATCATGTTTGATCTATGCACAAATTGTCGGTGATCCAGCGCTACGTGGAATCGGACTAGCTGTTGACTTAGCGGAATAACGTCCATACTTTAACCCATTGATACTGATCGTAGCAGCCCGATGCAGAATACAATGATGTGATGTTTGATGTTTGTTTCCAGGAGGCGTCTGAAAGCTTTCAGTACAGTACAGTACAGTGCAAGATTGTTGGATTGATTTCACTGTGAGATGGTTGTTAAAAACATGTTGCTTGCGCTCTGAGTTTAAGGGGGGGGGGATTCAAACAAGAATTAACGCTCTAGAATACGTTCAATCTCCCAGTCACATTCGATTTATATTTGGTCGATACCCTGGTAATATGGCGTCCTAGTAGAGATACAAGGTAGTACGGATAGACAATCATGACCAATTCGTTTGTAGACCATCATTCAAGCAATCATTATCCGCTGATCGAAGCCACATTTGCCAGATTTATGCGTTTCGTTTAGCTCATTCTCATGAGTTACGTTTCAGGATAAATCGTAATTTACAAGAAAACAACAGATTTACAAAATCTGCCCTCTCTCGGTCCATAAAATTAGCAGATAGCCCCCTGAGGCCATTAACCGCCGTGCGCTGGAAGCCGCAATCTTCCACCTTCGGCTTGATGAAGTCTTCTGTTCCTGGAGTGTTAATTCGCGGTCACAGACCAGCATCAGCTAATCGGTGGACAACAATTTCCAATTTATCCGATCGCAGTGAGCCGATGCGGGACAATGCAGATTTACGTTGGTCGTTCAAATCACGACGTCGTCAACGCGCACACTGTGCTCGACCCGGAAGTCGATCTTTAGGCCAGGAAACAAACAAATTGTTCGTAGCGAAAGGAGACCAGAAGGAATTCGATTGGGATGTGCCGAAGAATTCGTATCTCGTCCCACAAGTTCAACCCCGTCCGAGAAAACAAATTCAACTTTGTTTAGTCAATGAGAACAAGAAAACTGACGATCTGTTGGAGTGTCAAAATGTCTCCCAATCAAACCAACATGCAGGCGCAGATTCAGACTATTTGTCGAACCTGAACGAGATCAAAACTACTTATCTTCCGCTTAGACCGTCGAAGCTCTTGTCATCACAACTTTTGATGGCTGCAAAAGCTGGAGATGTCAGTCAGGAGTTGATTTTCTCCGATCTCACAGCATCGTTGTGTGAACGTAGGTTTGTAATCTGTTCACTGTTCTGTAGTGAGTTGATTGTAATGCAGTGCTCGTAGAGTGTGTCCCTTCCTTTGAATAACACGGATATATCAGTGCACCAAATACCCTAGAGGATTATTAATATTCCATAAAATATGAAAACTTTCTTTTGTCCTTTATCCATTTAATCCACAGAAGATGACAAATGTTGGCAGAATTGATATTGGCCAGCAATTTTGCGTGCTCTCATTCAGCTGTAGACACATTTGTCCACCTTGTTCAAACGACTAATTTTCCTTGCTTTAAATTATCATGTAAATGTGCATTTACAGCTAAATGAGAGCACACTTAATTGATGGCCAACATCAATGTCTTCTTGCGTTGATGAAATACCATTCCAGTTGTTGCTTCCGCCTTGGTCAACTGACCAGAAACTATTACCAGTCAATCGGGGATGGACCATACTCTCGAATGTTTGCCTTGCAATATTCGGTAATATTTTGTTTAAAGCGTAAATCGCTTCAAAAATCCGCCATTCAGCTTTGCACTTATTTGATTTAAATAATATATTGGAGAAACCACTCAGTCTTGGATAGAACCATGTAGAATATAAATACCACAAACTGCTAACCTGGTGTGATTTGTCGGCTGGAAATTATGTCTCAACTGTAAGGAAGGTTAGTCATATTTGTTCACTAAACAGCTATGTGACTTCAAACAAATCAGTAAACAAAGTGTTACTTAAAGTAATAATTACCTTATTTTGAAGGCAACGGTCGTGTTTCAGGTGCTAACTATTGTTGATTTGAACTGTTAAACATCAGAAGCATAGTCTTCCCGTAACGAATTTGAATAAAGAAGCTAAAAACAGGTTTGCACAATGTATCCCGGATCACCATCACTCTGGCGCTACCTTGGTAACAAATGTGTTTGGAGAGTAATTTTGACCGCAATCTTTCTCCGCTTATGATTCTGTTATTTACTGACCATCTATATTAATGATCACATAGATTGCAGTATGCACGTGTACAGATGCAGCGAAATGATCCAGGATACATTATGCAAACCTGTTAAACAATAATTTTTTTAGCTACCATTACTACTACTAGATCCTAGTGAGTAATATCAATCGAAAATCGCGTTACCAGTAAAAAAATTCTTTACTAATTTTTTTAAATCCCAAGGCGTAAACTTCTATTTCCGAGGTTTATTGGGTTTTACATGGTCAAATGTTGCTGATCTAAATCAACGGGATGATCTGGGATTTCGGTGCTAGTGACATCCTCAACATCATTTAAACAGTTGTGCTTAGCATAAATGGTTGTTTGTTTTTCTCTTTTCAGTCTGTTGGTAAGAACAATTTACCAGTAATTAAATATTATCATAGAAAAATATAAGCTAAGAAACAGATTACTTCCTTAGAGTGGAAGGACAGAAGTCACTTATAAAACAGAGGTTGATTGTGAGTGCTTGGCGAGATGCGGTAGCCAGAGTCCGTGCGTGCGTGGGGTACTAGCGACTAATTTTGCAGTAAAAAAGATACGTTTTATTCTCAATAATGTAAGGCGTTTAGAATATTTCAAATGGATTCCATAGGAATAAGTTAGCAGAAACCATTGATAACCTGTATTTTTACCATCATTGCGCTACAACCAGGGATTTCTGTAGCAGACTTTTGTGATAAAATATCAGTACTCACATGAAAGTTCCTGGATTTGATCCACGGTAAGGTATTTGAATTCGTCTTTAGTGAGATCTAACAAAGCCGAAACAGCCACAACGTTCTCTTTCGTTTTTCAGGTCCTGCATATTTTGCTCCAAATTCGATGAGGATTAAGATTCAATAGAACAGATTAATCGCTCAAACGTTTTATCGGATTAGTTTTTTCAAAATCAAAGTGCAATTGTGTCTAGATAATATGATGAAAAAGCAAAATCCAGCACCAAGTCAAGTCGGTAGTAGCTTTATGCACCCAGATGGGTGAGTTTTCGGCGCGACCGAATTCAAGGGCTCCGCAGTCAGTAGCTTGATTACTGGCGCAGGTGTACTACATTGTCTTAGTGAATATCGTTCATGAGAGCGGATATACTAATTGAAGGAAAGATAACAACATCTTTGTTGACGTATCTAGCAATCTGACGGTGTTTTTGTTTTACTTAGACCCGATTGGTGCACATCTTTACATGTGGTTATTTGCAGCAATATTCCCTTGCAAAACAGTATTTAACAAAACGGTATCTTTTCATTGTATAGGCGTTCCTGTTGACGGGGCCAATTTGTACCTGGTTGACACCGATAACAATTGTCTCTACCTACAACCACCTGATCAACCGATGTGAGTTCCATTCGTATTTAGATGATGATGATCATGATAATGATGATAATGATGATAACCACACAAATCTATGCTCTGCGATTATTAGAGATTTGTATAAAATTCAATTTCTATATTTTTAGTGTACAAAATAACAGTTAAAGTAATCTAGAATGTACATTGTTGTTTTCCGAAAAAGTCTTGTCTTTTCCTCTCCCCCGATGCTTTTCATCATTGTTGAATTATACCTTCCGAGGCACACTTAATGAAGGAGTAATAAATAAAATACAAATTTATGAAGACTGAAATAAGCAATTTCGACAAGTATTCGTTTTGGAGAACTGAACAGCACACTGCTGAGTCTGATAATCGCGCACACACATATTGTGAATCAGTGTGATATGTGCTACTGAAATGACACTGACTGATCAAATTTATACCTACAGTGTAACAAATCTAGTCCTTGAATGGAGTCGCTGGATAAAATGTGATGATCCAAAAAAGCATATTTTATCCGACCACCATTCTCACTGTCATATTATACGGTGATGTTAGAAACCAGTTTCCTCTGTTCCCATTTGTATCTATACTAATATAAATTGATAATCGAAACCCTTTTTATTCAAGAAAAGTTACATTGTGACATACATAACATGTACCTCTAATCCGTCCAAATGTTTTAAATGTCTCTTTACATTATCACGTTCTTCTTTCCCATCTGATTGGGTATCGATTGGATCTGAACCAGTATCCCGGGTCAGCTATATTAAATACCAGGGTTTTTTTTATTGATGCTAATCTTCGTTGGACCTCTCACATAGAAAATATCGTTAATAAGCTTCGATAACTTTCTTTTCATATCCGTAAACTTTGTCAGTTTCGTATTCGGCAATCGTTGATTTCCGACTTCGTGTACCAGTGTGTTTTCCCCGTTTTACTTTATTGTTCATCGACTTCGACGTGGACTGACCATCATTAGCCACGTTTCTTCAATCCCGTTGGAGGATTTGATATCTAACCTATGTCATTTGCTTGCGTGTGAAAAGTTTGCACATAAGATCCTTATTGAATCCACACATCCACAATACACAGATTCAACTTTCTGCTGTTCTCATCCGTCAACTAGATCCCAACTCTACTTTACTCTCATTAGCACGTTTTCTAGTTGAGAAAAAGTAGGTTTTCATAGACTTTGTCAACAGTTATGTAATTCAAATTTCTGTTTATTTATTGTTATTAAAAAAATTTCTCTCCCTCTTCAACTTGTATATTTTTAACTAAAATGTAGGCTTGATGCCTGCAGAAGTTATAATAATAACAATAAAAATGCCAGTTTTTAGTAGAAGACGTTGAGATACCTTAAATATTGGAATATGGCATAGATTACATAGATGTATACTTATGAAGAACAAAGTCGAATTTTAATAAATCAACAATGCCCGTTGATAAATTGAAAATAAAGTCCGGTAGGTGAATCAGACTGCTTTTCGATTAATTCATCTACTGGCCATTGCAATCATTTCCGGGTTAATTGTGTTCGTCGATCTGGTATTGATCACATCAAACTCTGTGCAGAGAGTATGTGCGACGTCGGTTCACCTCCTGTTCAACATTTCGGTTAAGCCATTGATGCCTCCCTCTGGTGGTGTTATTATTTGGTTTTATTATCCTTATGGTTAAATAAATCAGACAACCTCATCAGGTACATAAAGAGTGTTGAGCAATTGACGCAAATAGGAAACTCAATGTTATCGGGATCCAGTCAGAATCCGATCTACTGGTCAGGAACACTCATTTCCGTGTCATTCATTGTCATCAGCCTTCAGATGGCATGAAAAATTGATTTATTCTACAGTGGTTGGACCAGTTCCTTCTTCAATGTTCCTCAATGTTTCTCAGTTTCTCAACCTAAAGTTGGCACTCGGTGCTGCGTCAAATGTTGCTCCGCGAAATGTGAATTACTACACATTGTCCCACTAAACGGGGGGTTTTCACGGACTGCACGTGCAACAGTTTTTGTAGTGTCACTAATTGTTTTGTCAGTGCATTTGTTTTTTCTGATTTTCCCGTTTTGAGCCCTTTTCGATCTATTTATTCTTCAGTTGATTCTTCAGACCGGGGTCAAGACTGGTCAAGCCAAAATCACCCGATATACGCTAATGAAAGTCTACCCATCTCACAGCGGACAACTCTCCCACAGCCTTATTTATTTTCTGACAATCTTGAATCGGCCGCTTACCTATTTCATACCATGACCATACTTTGGACTGATATATCTAATGAATGGAGGTAGTAGTATTAGTAGCAACAGTAGTATCATTTATTTCATCATAAACACATCGCTGACCTTTTTAAATACGCAAGCTACGACGATGTCGAGGGAAGCATGAAGCTTTGTGTTCCTTTGTTTATTAATGCATTTTTCCTGTCACACTTTATTGTTCGGCCGTTATTTTCCCTGGTCCAATTAGAAAGGACTTCATTACTCTACGCCACGGTTTAGTAACTATCATCCGTGTGTCTCTTATTCCTTTAAACATTCTGATCACAAAATGTGTGCAATTTTGCATATCACTTCATGTAATAATTTCGCTCATAAGATACTCAGTGACCCCAGTCATCCACTCAATCCCCGATTTATCTGCTTGCCGTTCCCACGCTTCAACCCGATGTAATTTTCGCTGCTTACCCTCCAGAATAAACATTTATCGCAACTCACCGGTTCCCTCTATGGCTCGTATTCTCACTGACACGGTGAGGATCCGTAACGAACTAATTTTAAACTTGTAAAAATGAGCATTGAAGTTTTATCATTGTTGTATATTATTTTCATTTCATTTTTTATCCCATTGTAACGGTGAACACATTTTTGACTGAAAGATGAGCACAGTCGCCTGCACAAGTCATCTATAATAATAATAATAATAATAATAATAATAATAATAATAATCAACCATGAGCCAGTAGAACTCATTACATCTTTCGTATGCCCCGAGCTAATCATTTGGCCCAACGAGGAATATGGAGATGAAATTTAGGTACTTATCCACTCAACCAGGAATGTTTCTCGAAACACTACAAACACTACAAACATGTAGCGAAATCACCCTCTTCAATAACGGTATGGAAATACAGTCCTGTTCTGAACTGCGGCCGCGAGGCGTGCTTAAAAACAGTCTAAAACTTCAAAACACTCGAGGTTTTCTATCTCTGGTATCTGTACTTTTCCTGAAAAAAAGGACGCGATTACTTAACAAACCAGAACGACCACTGGTACTCCTATTCTATCAAAAAAACTATCTACCCTAACATCAACTTTCCCACTGATTTGGTCACGTTCTCCAACCTGCGGCCACAAAACGACCCTGCATAAATTCCAAAAAGTAGCATCAATTAAAATCCGGTATTCGCACGAAGGAATCTAGCAACCTCATTGTGATGTACGAAGGCAGCCCTTCACAATTAAAACCATCACTGTGAACCGCGTAAGCAACGAAAGTGGATAAATAATTTAGGAGTTCCCGACTGGTAAGCAACTGTTTTCCACCAACTTTGTCCAGTGTGTTTGCGTATACCTATCACTTTTGTCTTTGCTCAATTTGTGAGTTCTTTGACTGTGCTGAAGGATAATTGCCTTGACTACACTCTATGCATGGACGTATACAAATCTAACGGAAGAATTCCAGGTTTCATTGTATAAATCGGTGACTTGTCTTATTCTTTACGCAACTTGATAACTGAAAAAAAATGTTTTCAGTAATAAACAATTACAGATAGGATTAATAATAATGAACAAGTACTTCAAGTATATAAAGTAAGCAAATCAATTTTCATTGTGTGAATATACAGAAAAGTGAAGCATATTTCGGAAAAAAAGATAAAATAAGACTTTGACTTCTTGGTGGTATTATTGTTCGTTCTATCTTTCATCTTGGTTGTATGTAGTCGCGGATCGAAGATTTCCCAATGCTCATTCGAGTTGGGTAGCCGTAAATCCATGGTATCCTACGCGGCTGATATTAGACAACCGGTTTTCAGTGATGATTTGCCAAAGGTAAGTAAAAAACACTGCGAACATGGAGTTTGAATGGAAATTATCTTATTGAGGTCGAACACAATCA